GCCAAGAAAGAGCTCGCAGAGAAAACCGCCACTGGGCGGCATTCCGGGGTGCTCCGTCCCACCAAGGTTATCGTTTGTACTCAAGACAAACCGGATACGAGTGGATTTGCAATGTGGCGGACGCAAATGTCGCTCTGCTGTCGTCGACGCTCTGCTTTAACTCTAGGCAGTGCCGGGCAGTGGGGTTCGTGCCAGGAGCGTCTCCGCGTGACAGAGGCATCTTTGAAAGCAGCAGAGGCGAGCATCACAGTCTGGATGGCACTGGCCGTCAGCCTGCTATTGTTCGATGTAGTCTAGAAGCAGCGCGAGAAGTCTACTGCTTCCCTCTGCAGGAGAGGCGGCAAGCTGCGGAAGCCCAGCTAAAGGCTGCCAAGGCCACCGAGGAGGCTCTCTGTGGGATGATGTGGGACCTGTCTACAAATTATCAAACCTTCCAGAAGCACTTCTGCTGATTAGGTCTGACGAAACAGCTGCTCTCACCCAGAGGGCAGCAGGTTCAAAGCTGGAGGAAACTCTGCTGTGCGATTCTTGGGCAGGCCCTGCAAGAACGTGTCAGCGGTCTTCAGCGCTCGCTCCAAGCTGCGAGGGGCAAGAGGCAAAATCGCGTGAATGGGATCGTGGTGCCTCGGCAAATCCGGGCCTGAGAGGCGGTGTGTTTTGGGGGGAGTGGTCTTTGAGGTTTAGGACCTCGGCGAGACACTGAGCAAACAAGGGCCTTGGGTCGGGTATGCAACGTCTCTGGGCTTCTGGGTGCCAGGCTCGCCCGCTTGTGCGAAGGAGATCTCCTTCAGTATCTCTGGCCTAGGCCAAGTCTCGGGCCGTGCTCGACTGGGTTGCCGAAGAAGATGCGAAAGGCAAGGCCAGAGGGCGACTGTCTGGGGAGCTCTCAACCCCACTTCATGCTTCCGGAGACGAAGACGACAAGTCCACTGCGTCCGCGACCAGTGCTACAGGAGAGGTCCATGTCGCACAGATCGCACAGCGATGTGCTAGAGAGAGACAGAGCAGTGACACAAAAGTCAAGATTCTAGTTCGTGAGCCTCACAGCTGCGCACTAGGACCGGACACATCCGCACCATCCAAGCAGACCGCCACCGTCACCAGTGTTCCAGGACTGTCAAAGCAGCAGACGCCTAAAGGCTTTTAGGAAGCAATGTAGCTGCTTGTGCTTTTTACCTGCTGAGGCTTGTACATTTCTGCGACATAGCGTATGTGCTGCATGCTATTCTGTATCGGTCGCATCCAGACTCGTCACAAGGGTAAAGCGTAGCACTATTGATTGATTTTGGCACGAGGGTGTGCGCCGAGTTTGATGACGTCCGTTCACTAGCCAACGCCTTCATATTTGTAAGTTGACTGGCTTGCAGGAGGCAGGTCTCACGATGTGTCCTCGCTGTTTGGGGAGAGCACTCAAGGAAAGCTTGGCGTCAACATGTCGTGTTCAAGAACCTGAAGAACCCGAAGAAACTGTATGAGAGCCCTTGAAATAGTGTCAGCTGATTGTCAGTTGCAGGACCAACTTCGAGCGACGTGTCGTCACTGTTCGGGGAGAGCACTCAAGGAGAGCAACAGTGAACACATGTTGGGAGGTTCACGTACGACCGGCATTGTCACTGCAATCTCAGCGCCTCATGAAATGTTCAGGAGTTGGTGGTGCCTCTTCCGTTTTCGAGCAGAAGACGGCCAATACTCCAGGAGAGTGACCAATGCTATTTAGGATATATGGCGTGATGTTGGTCGAAGTATGCTGAGAAGCTGTGTAGCTTGGCATCACTGCCGATTCAGCTTCATCCAGTTGCACGCACCTCATATATTGTTTCGTCCAGAGTCCAGAGTGCATCAGAGCGTCATAATGCCAAGGAAGCTAGCCACCGAAATTTGTTTTTAGGTAGCACGGTGGCAGCAGAAGTGGAACTCCATGTTTCGCATAATTCCCCTGCACAGTACATGCATCAGGAGCAACAGCCGACCCGTCTGCTGCATTCACGGCCAGTGCTGCAGGAGAGCGCCATGTCACACAGATCGCACGGTAGTGTATTCACAACTCTACTGACTAGGACCGGACACGGCTGCGCTCTTCGAGCAGGCTGCCGGCAATGCTCCAGGACTGTCAAAGCAGCACGCCTGAAGGCTTGTATGACGGATGTTCGGTTAACATCCCATTGATTCTGGCATGAGGGTATCCGTCACCAAGAGCGGGGATAGATGCGCAAGGAAACTGTACGGACACCGTGATTCGAGAGCCCTTGACACATCGTCATCAGATTGTGACTTGCAGGACCCACTTCAAGCGATGTGTCGTCATTGTTCGGGGAGAGCACTCAAGGAGAGCAACAGTGAACACATGTTGGGAGGGTCACGCTCGACCGGCATTGTCACTGCAATCTCAGCGCCTCATGAAATGTTCAGGAGTTGGTGGTGCCTCTTCCGTTTTCGAGCAGAAGACGGCCAATACTCCAGGAGAGTGACCAATGCTATTTAGGATAGATGGCGTGATGTTGGTCGAAGTATGCTGAGAAGCTGTGCAGCTTGGCATCACTGCCGATTCAGCTTCATCCAATTGAACGCACCTCATATATTGTTTCGTCCAGAGTCCAGAGTGCATCAGAGCGTCATAATGCCAAAGAAGCTAGCCACCGAAATTTG